AATTTATCCTGTCACTTTCTCATGTAGCTTGATGGCCGTTGAATGTGACAAAACAGTCCAATATCTTTGACCCAGGCTAGGTATTAATTTCCAAGAAAAAGCCTGTTTTTTTCAATGCTTTAAAATACAGATTAAAAAAATTAATTAATTCTGATTGTGTGTGCATCAGTGCTGTCTGGGGAGAAGAGGTCTTTGTTGAAGGCCAGCATTGTGGAAGTAGCACCTTTTGTGAGATCACAGAAGGAAACATCAAAACCTGAATGGTTCATCTTTCAGTGGTGTATCAATTTAGACAGATTTGAAGAAATTGAAGTCGTTTTAGAAAGAAGGAAAAAAACCCACCACAAGAACACACTGTTTTGGTGCCCTCTTAGGATGTGATGAAGCAATATTGGATAATACACATTTCCAACAGATGGCTTATAAAATGACTTGGGATATTCCACGTTGTCTTCTAATTTTCAGATCTTTTTCATGTGAGACTACTGAAAAGCTAGAAAAAAAGTTACAAGAATCATGGACAAGTAAAATTCTGTTAAAGAGGCAGTGGGTGTGTGCAGATTTTTTTTAGTGGACTGTCGATGTCTGTGGTATCAGTAATACAACAGAGAAATATGCAGGGCATGGGTTACAGTAGAGCTACTTTAAAATTGGGGGGGTTGATTTCTCATTTTATGTGTGTGTGATTATGTCTTGATACTTCTAGAACACTGGTGAAACTGCAATAGTGACTTCATTTCCTTTTTGTGTGACATGAACTGCAAGCTGGATCTGTTCAACATGATCCCATCATAGCCCTCTGTGACTGTAGTTGTGTAGCAGTTGCCAGATAAGCAGAATTGAACAATGTTGGTCATGTTTCAAACAAGCTTCTTTGGAGCATGTTTTGTTGACCACCTCAGCTTTAACAGCAAACCTCTGGCACGTTAACATTGTAACTCCTTGTAGCCAAGGTGTGCCAACCTTAACATGATAAAGAAACCAACTTATTTGGAGCATGGCTTCTTGAGAGACCTTTCCTGTCTTAATTTTTCCTTTTTAAAGAATTTTATGGTGCTTGGTAATTACACATGAATTTGTATTTAGGAGCAGAAAGTACTTATCTGCCTGGTACATTCCAGATGGATCATACAGTAATCCTTGTGTGCAGCCCACATGAGATTGGCAGACTGTCAGCATGAGAAGGGGGCAGAGGGAGTGAAAAAGAGATTTATGAAGGTCTGAGTGATTTAATCTAGGATTCCAAATCAGCTTAATCCTTCAAGTACACACTACATCAAACCCATATGTGAAAATGAATGAACTCTGAAATTTTTTTTTTAATGAAGTGAATGGGTGCTTTTTATAGTGTTGTTTTGTGTGTGTATTTCAGTATGAGCATGGAAACATACCGGAGCTCATCCTCCAGTGAAAAGAACGCTGCCTTTCCTGGTTTTGTAACTAGAAGGCCTCCAGCATTTCAGGCACAAAGAGTTTTGACCTTCAAGTTGGTGGCTAAACGAAAGATGGGACAATTTGCTTCTCGCCTCTGTCCCTAAATATCAATATATTGTCTTGATTTTGTATTTATTGTTTTCAATTAGAATTTGAAAACAAAAGAATAAAGCTCAGATTGCTTTTTAATCTGTTGCTAAAAAGTTTGACCCATATTTTACTGCTGTAAGTGACCAGGGCAATCATCATATGTTGTCCAGTGCTGAGCTATATCATATGCATAAGGTGTAGTTTATCCACTGAAAGCTGGATTGTTCTACAGTTTGGGGTTTTTCAGTGGTGATGTAAACTGTAATACAATTTCTATAGTTGTTTATGTATATATTTATTAAAGATGAAAGTCAACTCAATCTGTAAACATACTGTTATAGTGCAACTTGCTTGTCTGGTTTTGTCTTGTTCACAGAAAACTAAATTAACACCTGAAAATATATGTACATGTTTGGTTAAACGTGGTGGAAATAAGCTGGTGACAAGCTCTCTTTCAGCCACTTGGAGTGATTTCCGTCAGGATTTTTTTTTTCTAAGCAGTTCCTAGATTGGGTTCTTGATTTAAAGAAGTGCAGCAAACATCCTCATTAGGAGCTAATGCTGACACAGGATGTGAAAAGCCCACCTTTTCTTTAATATGTAGTTTTCTTTCTTGTTGAAAACGTATAAAGCCAGTTGTGTTTTGGTTTGGGGTTTTTTATATAATAATAAAGAGTAAGAGCTTTATGACTACATATCAGATTCTGGATGTCTTGGTATGATTTTTATTTCCTAAAATTTGTGAATTTGACGGTGTCTCACAAAAATCAGTGCTTTGTACATCTGTATTTCAGTCCAAGTGCCATGTAAACAGGATTGTATAGTGGGTAAATGCAGATTTAAACCTATGTATTTGTATTATTTTTTTTTTTTCCCCCTCAGAATCAGATCAGTGATTTAAGTATTATATCAAGTTGTGGAATGCAACAAAATTCAAATCCTCCAAAGCCAGAAAGCACAGAGCCTTCAGAACAAAAGCCTTCATTACAAGTGCAAGAGCAGGTATGTTTCATCCGACCCTAAATGAAGAGCTTGTTGTTTTTTTTTTTCCCCATTTAGAACTTTGTTTCAGTACCAAAATTGGGTTTTTTTGGTAGAATGGCTGCAGTGTTGTCTGCTGAATGTATTATCACTATAAATAAACTAATGAGTTTGAAGACTTTTAGGATCCTAAATTCTGTCTTTTGACTTAGCATTTTAAAAATATGAGGAAATGTCCACACTGCTGTGAATATCCAAGTATGTTTAAATGGGCCAGCTTTAATTCTGGAAGAAGTCAGGCTGTGGTAATGTGCAGGATGACTTGGAGAGACAGGAAGCAAGAAAAACTGGCCTGTGCCACAGTATTGCACTGAATCAGTCAGGTGGACATAATGTTGCAGCCTTTCACACATGAGCTCAAGCCCTGAGTTCTCGTGTCTCAGATCTTCAGGCTTGTCTGTGCTGCCTTCAAAGTTACAGCTACGGTCCTGCACAAGGAAGCTGTAGCTTCATACAAGACATTTTAGAGATAAATTTAGAAAAAAAATAAATTCTGCACTAAGACAGACATGAAGTGCCTTGGGCCTGCTTGCAGTGCCACCCAGTGGGCAGGGGAGGGGCAGTGCTGGTGCTCCTCAGAAGATGCCCCACAGAGGTCAGGAGCTTTAGTTCCCTGCCATAGTTCACTGGTGTGTTTCTGATGCAATAAACCACCGTGTTGGAGTAATGAAGTGCCCTATGAAAATGTGGGCAACCTTGCACTTAGTACTTTTAAACAAAATACTTAGTTTGGAGTAGTAGTAGTTTCTAGTGCAGTTAAGGCTGGGGTATGGGCAGCAGGAATCTGTTTGGGGGGATGGAGTAGTAACAGTTAATGAATTAAAATAAGGGGTGGGGAGTTTGCTGGGATATTTGCTATCACAGCACCTCTGCTTTTGGGTCAGCCTAAGTGCTGGAGTGACCCCTGGCAGCTCTGCTTGGTGCGTGCCAGTCTGGAGACCTGGCACCAGAGTTGCCTGAGGCTTTGCTTTAAAAGCAGGTATTTTCTTTTGGGTCATTCCATATAGGCTGTACAAAATCAGCTGAAGTGCTCCACCTGACAGCACATGGAATTGCAGAACAGGAAACGAATAACTAGTAAAGGAGAAACTGGAAAGATAAGATTCTAACAAATTGCTCTGGATTAATTAAAGGGAAAGTCGATTTATAGAACATGTAAAATGTCATAGTTTTAATTCTGTTCAGCTATTTAAAATATTAGCTGCAGAGATACTGGAAAAAATTACTTGGGGAGCATAAATGATAATTCCGCAAAGCCAGTTTAACTGGCTTTGAGTATATCACAGTTGTGTTGGTGATGAGCCACATTTTTAATAATGTGGACAACTGGAAGACTACTGGAAAGACATTCCATTTCAACTATAAAAATACATTTTTCATCTAATTGAAACAGATGCCTAAAAAATAGTGTGCATATGATAAGTACGGTGAGATTCCTAAACTCCCTCCAAAATGTCACACTTGCATGTTGATTGACTAACTTCATCTCATGCTAAAGATACCACATGTCTGGGAATAAAAATAAATGTCTTCTCTATGATACTGTGAAGTCAAGTGTTGTACCTTGGCGATTCAAAATTAAAATCAGTTGTATCATGAAATGCTTTCGTGCCAGCAATCAGCAAAACTGAACCAGAACACTGATACTGAACCCTGAATTGGCAGTCAGAGGTCATACTGTAAAGTTTAAATTACCTGAAATGATTTCTGGAGAAACTCTTTGAGCAGCAGCAGCTGCACCTGCACTCTGTTCCTATCAAATGAAATGGTCATGTTGCCTTTTTGCAACCCCTGCTGATGTGTCTTCATGACACACTGAGTTGATGATATGCTCAAAGTACACTTCAGCCAGAGATGGACAAGGCAAAAGGTGGGGTTTGTACTTCATGCTGTACACTAACTTCATGTTTGAGACTATCCATGTAAGGGGCTGGTCTGAGTTGGCTCAAGAGCATGGCAGAGATGTCAGTTGATTACCTGACTGTTGTAATGTATTAATAAAGGAAAGTTAGTCAGTTAATCATACTGAAGTCAAGAGCAGAGTTTGAAATGATCTGGAACAGTGATTTTTCTCTTAATGGAATCATAATAGTTGAAGCACAGGTCTCTGGAACAGTAATAGCAGTGGAGGAAAGTAAGAACAACTTTCTAGGAAAAGATTCCTAACATAATTAACAAGGTTTATAAACTATAGAATGTCTCAGCCGCAAAATGAAAGTGTGCCTGACTAGAAGCTGGCTAAAAATGAGTAACAATGGCAGTAGAGGTGAGTAACAAGGACAAAAGTGAGTGTGATTTCAAGCCCAAGGTTTTTTTAGGCACCTGTACTGCCATGGCTTCACTGCTGTTATCTGTGCTGGGAAAATTGGAGCCAGCAGAGCAATGTCATGGTACAGTAGTTGTCATTGTGAAGTAGTGTCTTTGTTTAGACATACCATCAGAATACACTGGAATTGTGCTGCAGGCCATTCAGGCTTCTGAACAGAATGTTGTATTTCAGTCCAGCTGTTTTACATAACTTCTAGTCCTGTGCAACCTCAAAAAAAAAAAGGAAAGAAAGGAAAATTTTGAGATTATGGATGCTATTAATAGTTGTTTCTTTTCTCTTTAGTAAAATACATTTTAAAATATTTTCAGTAAAATATTAAGAAGATGATATCCTTAAAATCATATTTTTCTAACAATGTCAGTGGTGTAGCTAGATGAATATTTTTGGGAGAGACTTAAAGGGCTGGTAGATGTAACTGTCTGCATATATATACACACTTTTCAAGGAGATATATACACATATGTTTAAGTGTATACAGATTCTTTTACCTATCATGACATCTATTGCATTGTTAATGAAAAGGGTGAAGAAAACTGTCTAGGCATGTATTGCTAGTTCAGTTGTGTACCTTCTAATTTCTGTGTTCCTTTCCCATCTTTTAGGCTGTTTCATTATTTCCAACTTCATAAATTCAGTGAGGATTTTGTTCAACATGTCTGTTTTTCCCCACGTCTCCCCAGAATGCCTTATGTAGTTCTGGCTGATGGATGATGTCAGGTGCCATGTTCATGACACAGTCCATAGCCTCCCCCCTTCCTTACTACTAGTGCACAGTCTGTCCCAGGAAGGCTGCAAAGAAAAAGCATCCATTGCCAGGATGTTCCTTGTAAATTAAATTAATTTCAAAATTCCTGTAAATAGGACACACTTGATTTTACATGCATTTGACCTAGTCTCTTGTAGTTTTCTTGAATTTGTAATAGACCCTGGGAGTTGCACAGTGCTGTCTATATTTCTAAGCTTAAAACTTCTTTTCCCCTTCTTTTTAGCCATTTCAGTCAAGGCAGAAGCATCTGACTTTGGAGGAACTGTTTGGAACCTCTGTACAAAAGGAACAGCCCACTGCTCCATATCCCAACCCAGAGAGAATGGACAAGCTTCAGACAGATGCATCTGCCAGAGAGCAGCACAGTTTGCTTTTGCCTTTTTCCTTTGACCAGTCACCAGTAATGCAACAATCCCTGGGGAAATCAGAAAGTCCAGGCGTTAAAACTAGTGCCAATCAGCAGGACTGTTTAACACCTATGCTAATGCCTCCAGCTTCAGTTTCCCAGCCTGATATAAAAAATGTTTCAAGCTATTCAGTTCGTTTAAGCCCTGTTCTTAATTCAGCCTCAACAATGGAAGCTGCCCCTGCTCAGATGCTTCCTGGCCTAAAACAAAGCAACAGTATAATGCAAGTTATGCAGCAAGCTGCCAAGCCCATATCCCCACTGGTGAATCAGCCGCCGTCGGAGGGGAACCACGCTCCACAAAACCTAATGGCTGGCCAAAGCCAGCTCATAGCACCCTTGACAACAACCAACACGGGAACTGTCTCAAATCCATCTCATACAAGTGTTGATCTTCTCCAGAAACTCAGGTTGACCCCACAGCATGACCAAATGCAGCAGCAGTCTCTCACTAAAACTCCCTTAACACCGAACATCTCTGCCTCGGTTGGCCAACTTGCAACACCAGAGAGCTTCAAAGAATCTCACACTAAGCCATCAGCCTTGAACAGCAAGATAATCCCTCCCCTTCAGGTATTCTGATATCCATGAAGTTTCAGGCTGTTTTTAGACCACGTGTATTTTTCCCTTGGAAATGTGCTGTTGTATAGTAGCCTTGTAAAAATAATGAAGGACTTCCACTGTGTGATATTGATTGAATTGCCATGTTAGACATTCAGTTCCATTAGTTCTATATCATTAGCATCTGCTACCAGTGACAGACCTACCTGTAGAGGAGGAGGAGGTTTTTCAAACTGGTGCTGTTAGTGGGTGGTGAGTAGGTCCTAAAGAATTCTTCTGTACTTGTGTCATAAATGGACTGCTCAGAGCTGCTGATCTGGGAAGGCACAGAAGGTCACAGGCTCGTCAGTGTTGCGAGGGGTGATGCTGTGGAAGTGGAGCCTGTACCTTATTTAAAGGTATAAAATTAACAATTTCCTTTTTTTTTTTAATTTAGACTGTACAACAAAGCAAAGAACCAGAAGTGTTTCCACAGCCGAAGACTTTGTCTAAAGCAAGTCAAGTAAGTGAACAAGTACCTCTGCTAATTGTTTACTGGTTTTCTTAGAAAAGAGAAAACCCAGCTGTGGTTCACTGTTGATATCTCAAATAGTCATCACCCACTGACCATATTTAAAGAGCTGTTATGAAGCAGAAAGAAGCTGCACTGAAGGAAGGGGGAGTTCTCGACTGCCTCTTATTGTTGGTTCTAATGTGGAAATGAGAACACATTTTTGGATTTGCAGCCTTGCAATGAGTTTGCACCATTTGAACTGGTTTTTTTTAATGTTTCAAACAAGCAGTACTAGTGCCATAATATTGTAGCAGGGTCTATTAGCCTTAGCCCAGCCTTAAGCATCCCAGAGGCGTAAAATGTAGTCCTTGCCTTACCTGTCACTTAGTTTTCCTGTGGTAACCTTGTATCTTTTTCATAAGATACAAAGTGAAAGAAATGGAAGATGGAGGAAGAAAAGAATAACAAGCATTTGTTATTGCAAGACTGTCTAATAGCAAGTTTTAGTGATCTAAATTCAGATTTAACATTATTAGAACTGTCTTGGGTAACAGTTCAAAATAATGTCAATTTTAAGTTTCAGGTTGCAGTTAAAAAATAACTGGTAATAGTCAAGCCTTCAAGAATTATTTTAATTACGTTTTTGTTATGTATTATTTTTAGGATACCATCTGTAATTTAATTCTACTTTTCCTTTACCCACCCCCTCCTTTTTCAAATCTCTGAAATTGCCTCATTCTTGTCAAACTTGCACTACATGAAAGCAGTTTTAGTAGCATGCCCAGATCTGATTGTGAAGGCAGTAAAATTGGTGCTACTTAAAGTAAAATGCTGTTCTAGCTACTGGCCTGCTATGAGATAAGATCTACAGGCTGTTCATGACCCAGTTAGTAAATAATAATCGAACTAAAAACATTTTATATGGATTTGGGAATTTTAAGGAATGTGTGCATGTTGTGTAGTAAACTGTATTTGTGGGTTTAAACACATTGTCTTCAGCTGAAATCCCACGCTATGAGTCTTCACAGTTTTGACTACAACAAAATCAGTTTTTTCTTCTGAAAATCTTTGGTTATCTAAGGGGAACTCCTTTTACTGACATATCAAATATCTATATATATGACATTTAGTGTTGCTTTTCTTTTGAGTGAGATTGGCTTGTTTATTTTCTTTTTTCTTTCACCATGTTGGTCATTCTGCAGGCCTGAGCAAGACATTGATTATGACACTGACTAATGATTGCAGTTATCAGGAGATGGCAGAGCTGCTCAAAGCAGATGTTTACTCATGTTCACTTTATGCAAATATAGTAGTCTTATAAATTTGCAAGTTTTGTTTAAAAGGAAAAGTGGTAAAGGCAGTATGTGGATTTTTGTCATGAAATGAAGACAGACCTGTGGAAGAATGAGGTGGGATGATGGTCCTCAAAATATTCCCATCTCATATTCTCCACAAGGGAAAATGTACTTAAAATGAGAGTATTTCAGTGTACTCCAACACTTTAATTATAATTCAGCAATCTCTTTAAATATTTTTGAGATACATTTAGAATTTGAAGTAAAATATTCGTAGGAGACCACAGAAGCAGGGGAGGCAGGAAGCAGGACTGCCTTTCTGTGAACCCCTAAGGAAAATAATAATCTGCAAAACAGCTACTGAGTCCTTTGATTAGCTTGGTGAAAAGCTCATCTTTCATTATATGTGTTATGTTTCAAAAATTCTGGAAGGTAGCAAGGAGTCTGCATGCAAGAATGTTCAAGGCTGCTACCTTCTTTAGCTTTGAAAATGAGAATTACTATTGGTATTAATCTTCATAGATAGATATTTCTTAATTAACAGCACCTATTTTGTAATATCTGACTGAATTATTGTGGCTACAATTTATTTAATTTTCTTTATGCTCATCTCTCCAGCCTTTACAACATCATTCATTCTTACTGGAAATGGTGCTTATTAATATTCTGTTCTCTTACAGGTCGCACCTCCACAGTTTGTTACAGCCACGACAACAGTAACACCTTCAGTCCTCTTGTCTCCCAGTGTGTTTCAGCAATCAGCTACAAAGGCTACTGAAGTGGAGAATAAAGCCAGTTCTTCTTCGCCTTTAACACTTGGAACAACAGAAATTCAAACTACACCTCCTACTGTTCTCAGTAGGTCTCAGCTGCAAGAAGCACTGATACATCTAATAAAGGTACTGTCTATACAGAGCTCAATCTCTGAGGGAGAGTTCCAAGTACAGAAGCCAGCACTGAGCAATTCCATACCCCTGTAACTCCTTTTGCTCTGAAACATTACAAAATATGTTCTTTTGTCTTGGAATTACTCCACACTGTGCACATAGTATGGCACAGTTTGCTCCTCTTGGTTGAGATGTGGAGCAATTAGAACAGAGTACATGGGATGTGTCCTCTCACATCCATATGAATTTGCAGACAAGTGATGAATAAGTTGGACTAGTAGAAGCTGCTGTGGGGATGGGGGGAGTTGATTTTGCTGCCTTTGTAAGTTTTCTACTTCCCCAAGGAAAGCTTTCCTGTTTTCAGTTCCCTAGAACCTTTCCTCATCTTTACCTGAAGTATGATTCTTTGAAATGGAAATTGCGAAGTTTTACTTCTGCTATTTCTAGGGACTGAAAAGTTCAGTTGCATTAAGTCTGTGATGTTGGGAAGCAGCCATGCATTGAGATGATTTTGACCTCTAATGCCATAGTGAAGCTGCCATGAATGACAAAGGGTTCTTTCTTACCTTGGGATTCTCTTGCCCTCTCCATGCTGATGTGCAGAGCTTACACCCAAAATGCAAGTCTAAAAAAAAACAATATCTTCCCAGTCATCAAGTTTTAGGACCAAAAAGGGCCACTACCAGATCCCATCACTAGGTTGCTTGATTTATCTGTTGTTCCATTTTACGTAACCTTTTCCTGTATTGGTTTGTATGGTTTTTCTCATTAAAGACTTAAACTAGTCTTGCAACCAAGG